TCTGAAGAGCTTATTGAAAAGAGTTTGAAATGGAAAAAATGTATTAATATTTATAATAGTTGGCTACAATAATGAAGTAATTGTTTTGTAAGACTGGGAAAATGGAAATCAAAGTAAGTTTATAACTTTTCATAGTCAAGACAAAGAGAGGGTGATATTTTGAATCATGGAGGTCTCTTGTTATTCTAATGTAATTGCTATATGAACAGAAACCTGTTAATTAGTCTCTGAATTCTCAGTTTCTGGTAATCCAGGTATATATAAGTACTCAAGTAAGCTTAATACATTTATCCACAATGTAATTAATTGCATTTTAATGTCATTCTTCTTGTTAGAGTAATGAGTTTGCACAGGGGTTTTTAACCTGTGATCTAATCAAATTGAAGTACTGTTAGAAGAGAATATGTTTTTTAAACAATTTCTGTGAGATTATTTTTCGTTGTATAAATATTTCTAATAAAAGCACTGGAAGAACAGTAGCACTATAGGTGTTCAAAAACATTTTGGGAAATACTGAGTTATACTTGACCCTTTTTAACATTATTTGCTGCAGGATTTGAACAAGCGCTTGTCCCTGCCTGCTGATATCAGGATACCTGATGTGTATCTGGAGAAGCTGCAGATCAACAGCCCGCCATTTGACCAGCCCATGAGTCGACGTTCTCGTAGAGCATCACTAGTAAGTGCAATGCATCTGCCTTTTTAAACCAGCCTCTTGGGTCTTTGGCATTCGTTTAATGCAGGTATCTGTAATCCATAGGTATATTTCAGCTTCATTTGCACCAGGAGTGCCCTGAAATCAGCATGCACCCTTCAAAACCAGTGAAGAGCTTCATCCTTTCTCTCGTTTTAATTCTGCAAACCTGATCCTGTTATTTCTTAGTGAAGGTCTTGACCCATTGAAATCAGTGGCTAAACTCAACTCCCAAAGTGCATTGTAAATCCTTCAGCTTTTTAGGGCAGGGATGATCTGTTTGAGCAAATAGGCCATGTAGTCTTAGGTCAAGCCTGGGGCCTTCATGTGATTTAGTAGGAAGGCCCTAAAGCAGCATAATACGAAGGCAGGTCCTTCTCACTCTTCTTTTTCTATTCGTTAGCAAATTTTCTTTCTCAGAATTGCTGTTGAGATGATAGTGGGTGTTTTGCGTGGTTGTTTTTTTGGTTGTGGTGGGGTTTTTTAAAACATATGCGATTTCCTAAAAGAACAAATGAATAAATTCACTTACACCTTTTTAGATCATTGGGTTACTTTATAAAATTAATCTTTGCCTTGGAGATGGCAGAATGAGGATTCCTATACTGTAATCAGAATGTAAGCGCTAGAAATCTTGGATGTTTTGCATATTAAATATTAACATCCCTGAAAGAATAAACCATTATTGTCTTATTTTTACAGAAATTGCTATGTTTCAGTCATAATTTGATCTATCAACTTTCCAAATGTTAATCGAGGTCTTTCTTAAAGAACTGCTAGACATTTACTGACATCCTGAGCAGATTAATGGCTGAGACATCACTGTGGAAAACTGAGCAGGTTTAGGAAATGCATGTTGCTGTTTTCTTGATTTAATGGCTTATTTGCTGAAAAATAAATATGAAAGTACCTGTAGTGAAATAGTTTTATTAACTATGAAATACCTTTATATTACTGTCAGTAATGTCTGTAACAAAGCAGTGGTTGATTTTTACCATGTATTTTTATGCTGAAAAACAAAATTAAGTGTGCTAAGCTAATAAAGCTCTGATCTGCATGCCACCTTTTGTAAGAACAACAGAGGAAAAGATTGGAGCAAAGTTCTGCAAGTGATAACAATATAGCAAGGTTAAATATTTGTGCCAGAGTTTTGTAGCTCTCTCACCAGTTACTGATGCAGCACTGAACTGAGGAACAGACTTGCCCAAACCTCTTTTCAGATGCTGGTGGAAGTATCTTTTCAGTAGAACCTTTGCAGTGGAGTGTGACATTTAGGGCTGGGGAAATTTTTCTGCATATCTAAATCCCCTTGCTCATTTAACATTGAGCCCAGAGAGCAGTTGAAGTTCTCTCCTGTTTACCTCCTAGAAGACCAACAGAAAAATGGTGCCTCTTATGAATATGGTGTGTGCATGGAACCAGCTTCCTGTCACATGGGTGTTTTGTTTTGCCTTTAAAAAATGCTTTCATTTTTAAAGGGTGTAGAAGTCCAAAATGAAACCTGCCAGAGTGCTGTGGCATGCAGTCATGCATTTCAAGCTAAACTTTAAAAAAAAGAAATTCAAGGACTGATTATCTGAAACTGTCTCTGAAAGCCTCTTGCAGACTGCTAATTGCAATATATGAGTATTGTGCTCTGTTTCAAAGGCATGTCTCTTTGCAAGGCTTAATAGGAATCAAAGGAAAAAAGCTATAAAAAGTACTAAGTGAGGGCATGTTATACTTTAGGTCTGGTGTTTTTCTTTGAAATACAGGGGAGGAAAACAGCTTTTACAGTAATTGCATTTTGTGTGTACATGTGCAGTATTGCATGCACAGTGGCAGAGGTGTAACTTCTGCACCAGTCATTAGAAGTTAGAGACCATATATACCATGCATCGGTGTTTCTGTGGAAGTCGAGGTAGATGTGTATTGCAAAAAAAAAATCAGAAATTGTTTTGAAGGAAAAATAAAATTGATCTTGGTTTGAGGAATTTAAAAATTAGTTTTTCTTAGGACTGATAAGCAACCAAAATGTGATAAAAACTTTAAACACGTTGAAGGGGAGGTCTTGAAGAATGTGTTTTCTGTATGTAGGAAGTGGTGTATGATTATTTATCTTGATGAAAAACATTGAGGTTTCTTACAAATCAGGTTTGTAAATTGTATTCCAGGCTGTCTGGCAATAACAAGACCAATGACTATGAGTTCTCCTTTAGTTTCTCCTATAAACTAAGCAGCCTATCTTTTTAATTCTAATACCATGTAATATTTCAAGTTAGGTTTGTTTAAGTAGGCCAAAACGCACTTTGGAAACACAGTATTTATTTTGCTAACATTGTACCTATATCAGTGGTATGTTTAAAATCTCACTGGACTTGTAAGAGTTGCCAAACAGCAACTTAGCTCGTATTTTGAGATAACAGCTTGTCTTTAACAAGCTCCTAAATGTGTGTGATGCTAGAGTATACTTACACAATTTTAAAACATTTAAGTTCTAACTCTAATTTAATAAAGCAGAAATACTCTTAATGCTATATTAACATATTTTTTCCTCTGAGGTATATCCGATGTTAGCAGACAAGTTCTTACACTTCAGATGTATTTTCATGCATGTGTTCTGAAACTTTAACATTAATCAAACTTCCCTTAGCTTCCTATTATAGTCAAATCTTAATACAGTTAGCAGAATGTGTTACAGTATGTTATCATGAAATAATACAAAACATTAATAGCCATCAAATTTTTAGGATCAAATCAACGTGTTCTGATGTGTGGGTCTAGGTGCTGAAGCCAGATCAGGGTCAAAGAACTGTTCCTTGCAAAGAAATAGACAGGGAAGAGCTATGTTTGGAACTTGAAAGGAGGTGGTGGTGCCAGGGAGAAAACCTGTCTTTTTTGTTTTGGTGTATGTTCAGTTGTCAGTAAAACATAACCCCATGAATCTCATGAGTTTTGACAGGGTATAGGCTACATACGTTTTGTAAATTGGTTCAAAAATTCATGTTTTACATGTTTCCTTTCAGCATTCTTTACACTGCAAGAACGATAGGAAGCTCTGCTGACAGTCTTATATGAAAATAACTGTAAGAAATAGCTGTGTTAAAAATGAGTGTAGCAGTGGATGTGAACAGGAAAAGAGTAATGATCTCAGTCTTCAGAAATCAAGTTGCTGCATAGGCAGGCAAACCATTCTGGCTTGCATTGAAGAGCTAAGTTGGTGACAAAAAAAAGAGAAGGCAGATCCAAGTAAAATACACAAAGATTTGGAGTTAAGAGGTGTGAAATGTAAATTGTTAAGACAAAGCTGAAGCTTGTGGTGAAAGGATGTTTAGGGGTTTTTCCCTGGCAAAATTTTAGTCTGAAAAACATTGCAAGGTCAGAATGGAAGAAGAAACTTGGAGCTGAGATCTTGAACATAGTGAATAAGTCAAGTTACTTTGAAAGAAGCTGCAGCATATGGTTGTGCTGAGCAAGAGAAAGGATGGAGTAATTAGAGATGACTTCTGTACTTTAAGCTATAACAACCTCATTACTAGTAATCAGATCAGAAGAGTGGAGCAGAGTTAAGTAGGAGGAGGTATGGTAAAGTGAGGTTTTGGCCTAAGTGTAGCGCAGTACATAGTCCTTCCAGGATGCACAGTAGTCTGGCCAAGAGGCTGAGCGTTAGGCTTGGGTGCTGGGATTCATATGTATAATAATACTCTAAATTGTTTTTAAAATACCGGAGTTGTGCAGTGTTTAGTCAAGTACTGTCAGGTGATTTTCTGAAACAAAGTTTAGTTTGTTCGTTAAATGATGTGTAAGTGAAGTGTTCAGTTTTAGTAATTTTATTTGCATTTCTTTTCATTGCAGTCAGAAATTGGATTTGGAAAAATGGAAACCTATATCAAGTTAGAAAAGCTTGGAGAGGTATGTATAGTTTTCTTTTGGCATGGTTGCTGCTTTGATGACAGCAGCTCATGTAAAATTTTACATAAATGGTGACTGAATATCTCTGTATCCCTCAAAATACCCATTGAATTTCTTTTCAGTAAAACAATACATATTCAACATGTGGAACACTGTCACAACCACACAAATGTTCTATGCATACGTAGTAAGAAAAAAATGAAAAAAGCAGGAAAACTGTCACAGAGCTGGGGAAGAGCAAGATTCTATTAGCAGATGATCTGTGCCCTCCTTACATAGGTTTTTTTTGCAGATAGACAAAATTATTCCGTTGATAATAAAACTAGGTGGGTCTGGTGTCCTCCTACCATGAGCTGGGTGTTAGGAAACACTCATGGTGAGTGCGTGCAAGGAGCCAGTGCTTGCAAGGAGCAGGCAGTAGCCATGCACGTTCTGGTAGAAAGCCTGCACGCCTGAGCTGGGCAGCCAGGTGAAATGCGTAACACTTTGGTTTTGCCTTTACTTCTGGGAGGGTGGCAGTGTGGCTGTCCACCTCCACTCAGCCTCTGACTTTCAGACAAACAGTAGAATTCATGAGAGGCCAAGTGTCAGTCCTGTCCAATTTGGTTGAGGCTGAAAAACAGGATAAAAAATGGATAAGTAGCACTGGGATGGGATGCACCGAACATTGCAGAAGGAAGAAGGGCTGGTCAGCATCTTTGCTGTGAATATTGCAGTCAGTCCTCCGTTTGCAATGTTTTAATTTCCAAACACATGTAGTTTTATTTATTTTTATTTTTTTGCCCTATAGTACTTGTTAGATCACTAGACATGGCATAGCATTGCACATCTCTCAAGGATTGTTAATGTAGTAGCAATCGAGTCATGATTGTGGGTGTACATAATCTCACTTGCTTAAAAAATAGAATGAAACAATACCAGGTATGTAGAATCGTGGAATTGTTTACGTTGGAAAAGACCGGTAAGATCACAGAGTCCGACTGTTACCCTGCACTGCCAAGTCCACCACTGAACCAGGTCCCTAAGTCTTGTGTCTGTCATCTACACGTCTTCTAAATACCTCCAGGGATGGTGACTCAGCCCCTTCCCTGAGCAGCTGTTCCAATATTTGACAATCCTTTTCGGGGAAGAAATTTTTCATACCATCCAATCTAAACTTCCCTGGTACAACTCCAAAGCCTTGTCCTATCACTTGCTAGCTGGAAGAAGAGACCTGTTTCTGGGAGAAGAGTCTGACTCCCACCTTGCTACAACCTCCTTTCAGGTAGTTGTAGAGATTTATAAGGTACCACTCAGCCTCCCTTTCTCTAGGCTAAACATCCCCTGCTCCCCTCAGTCTCTCCTCATCAGACTTGTGTTCCAGACCCTTCACCTGCTCCATTGCCCTTCTCTGGACACACTCCAGCACCTTAATGCCTGTCTTGTAGTGAGGGGCCCAGAACTGGACACAGTACTCAAAGTGTGGCCTCACCACTGCCAGTTGCAAACATAGTTGCTGACCACACTTCTTCTAATACAAGCCAGGACACTACTGACCTTGGCCACCTGGGCACACTGCTGTCTTATGTTCAGCTCTGTCAGCCAGCACCCCAGGTTCTTTTCTGCCAGGCAGCTTTACAGCCATGCTTCCCCCAGCCTGCAGTGCTGCTGAGGGTTGTTGGGACCCACATGCAGGAAATTTTTCATCCAATCTAAACTTCCCTGGTACAACTCCAAAGCCTTGTCCTATCACTTGCTAGCTGGAAGAAGAGACCTGTTTCTGGGAGAAGAGTCTGACTCCCACCTTGCTACAACCTCCTTTCAGGTAGTTGTAGAGATTTATAAGGTACCACTCAGCCTCCCTTTCTCTAGGCTAAACATCCCCTGCTCCCCTCAGTCTCTCCTCATCAGACTTGTCCAAAGCCTTGTCCTATCACTTGCTAGCTGGAAGAAGAGACCTGTTTCTGGGAGAAGAGTCTGACTCCCACCTTGCTACAACCTCCTTTCAGGTAGTTGTAGAGATTTATAAGGTACCACTCAGCCTCCCTTTCTCTAGGCTAAACATCCCCTGCTCCCCTCAGTCTCTCCTCATCAGACTTGTGTTCCAGACCCTTCACCTGCTCCATTGCCCTTCTCTGGACACACTCCAGCACCTTAATGCCTGTCTTGTAGTGAGGGGCCCAGAACTGGACACAGTACTCAAAGTGTGGCCTCACCACTGCCAGTTGCAAACATAGTTGCTGACCACACTTCTTCTAATACAAGCCAGGACACTACTGACCTTGGCCACCTGGGCACACTGCTGTCTTATGTTCAGCTCTGTCAGCCAGCACCCCAGGTTCTTTTCTGCCAGGCAGCTTTACAGCCATGCTTCCCCCAGCCTGCAGTGCTGCTGAGGGTTGTTGTGACCCACATGCAGGACCTGGCACTTGGCCTTGTTGTACCTCATGCAATTGTCTTTGGCCGATCAATCTGTCCTGTCCAAATCCCTTTGCAGAGTCTTATAGTACAGTACTATAATCTGAGGCCGTTTCTGTAATTTTGCTGCTTCTTTGCATTTCCAGGGATCTGTTCTGCCTACTTGTTGTTTTGTGAGAATTTTTTGGCTTAATGTAACATGCCTTGAGAGTTTTGAATCTCTTGCTGTCTAAAAATACTTAACAAAGACAAGAAGCTATCAAAAGGAGTTACATATTTTCATTAAGGCTGTGGAAGAGTATGTGTGCAGCCTTTGGAAACATACATGCAACATAGTGTAGAGACACCTGAGCTAGTACTAATCAAATAGAGGCTTTCAGGAGCGTAAATGATCCCAGCAGTGAACTTAGTGAACTTAATGCTACCTGATCTGACTTCTTTGGTAGCTCTGTGTATGTAGGTTTCCATGTAATTTTCAGAGCCATTAAGCATATGCATACCTTGTGTCTTCTGTGAGTTCAGTCCTTGCTTAAAAAATACTTCTGTCGTTTTACAATATGTCAGTATAATGTTATTTAAAAACATATAAAAAATGAAACCTATTAGAACCTCAGACACAAGTTTATATTTTCTTATTTAACTAATGCTTCAATGAAAGAATGACTTGTAAAAGTTTCCTTCTTTTTCCATATCATAGGGTACTTACGCAACAGTTTATAAGGGGAGAAGTAAATTGACAGAGAACCTGGTAGCTCTGAAAGAAATCCGCCTGGAACATGAGGAGGGTGCACCATGCACAGCCATAAGAGAAGGTGGTAACTTTTTGGTTTAATTCTTGGAATTTTGGATACTTGCGGATTTTTTTATGCGTTTTTTTTTTTACCAAAGTGCTGTCAGGACTTGCAAATACAGAGGCAACATGGGAGATTAGTGAAATTAGTATTAGTTTCAATGAGGAAAATTTTATCTTGTCATAGTAAGAGTTAGTGTTTCATATTTATTTACTTTATGGGGGATGATTGTGTTCTCAAATGCAGTGTTACAAATGGATGGTTTGATACTGAATTATTAGTGAGTGACTTTCATGGACTTGGAATACGTTTTACCAATTGACTTCTACCTGATATGTATAGTTTAGGAAGTGCTTACAGTTTGTTACTCAAGTGTATGTTTGGTATTTTGCTTAAATATCTTTCTTACTAACTTATCTGAGTAATATGTTCTTTAAAATAACTTTTTAATTGAAAAATACCAACTACTTATCTGTATGAACTTGCTTGAAATGCCTTTACTGCTTATGTGTTTTACACTTACTTTATACTTATTCTCTTCTGCAGTATCATTATTAAAAGACCTGAAGCATGCAAATATTGTTACGTTACACGATATTGTGCACACAGACAAGTCTTTGACTCTTGTTTTCGAATACCTGGTAAGTCCTTAAACAGTCAGCAAGTTTTGCATTTCACTTACTGTTTCTAAGTAAGAGGCAGAAGAAAATTCTGTACTTTTGTTAAAAGTACAGTACTATTTTCTCCTGCATCTCCAATCATTTAGCTGAAAAGGAGAAAAGCATATTCAGTTCTTAAATTGCTGTAAATTAGTAAATACTGTTGTGATCATTTCAGAGTTTCATTAACAACAGCTAGTGCAGGTCTACCCGAGCAAACTGCCTACTTGTCCAAATTCATTAGCTGTACAAAAGGATAATCAGACTGTTGTTCCAATGTTATTTTTCTGTTATGATGTAGCTTAGTTCCAATTGGAGAATATACCAATTTTATAAAATCCTGTGCCACACGCAGATAGAGGATAAGGCAATAGCAAATAATGTTGCCTGAGATGATGCAGTTTGCTGGAAAACATGAGTATTTGTGTCCTTTGTGTCCAGGCTTTTACAGGTTTTTATCATTGAATATCTTTTTCAGAAAACTCATTTTCTGTTTAATTATTTCTGTTCTAACAATAAATAAATTCACGTAATCTGTTCTCCACGATTTTACTGAACAATGATGGTGGTGTTTTAATAGGACAAGGATCTGAAGCAGTACATGGATGACTGTGGGAACATCATGAGTATGCACAATGTAAAGGTGAGTGGGTTCAGTGACAGTGGCTGCCTTCCAGCTGCCTCTGTTCTAAGCATTTCAGACAATTTAATAATCAGGAGCTACACGATTTAGGGCTTTTTGAACTAAAATAAAGGAACTTAACCTCCTTTTGGACTTTTAAGCCTGGCTTAACTACATTTGACATCAGTCTTTTGGGTTTTGATGGCTTTCAAGTGTTGAAAACATTGGAAAGAGAAGATTATGTAACTTCATGTACTTTCATTCTCTTTATTTAAAATGTAAAACCAAAAAATAACATGTTCATAACTCTTTTGAACTTTTCTTCTCCTTCCATTATTTTTTACTCATAAAGTCTACAGTTTGGTGTATCCTCAAATAAAATTTATATATGCACACTGAGGAAAATGTAGCCTCAGTCACGAATGTGGATTTGGGTGTCACTGCCTACCATAAAAGATTAAAGATATGTATTTAAGAACGAGTGATATCCTCTTTCC